TATGTCCAGCTAAACAACAAGATCAGCGTGGCTATGGTCAGTTCATGAGCTTCGAACGGGCAGAAAGGTGAGAAATTGTCGCTTTTTGCCCATTTTTGCCCACGTGTCACTTTCAACGTACCTCTCTATAACATGACCCAGCTGTGTTGTGAGTGGTCGCATTGATTTGATTTTTGGTTTGCTTGTAGGCCGCTGGCACCCGCATTCAGTGACGCTTAAAATTTGGCACTGCTGTGTATAGTTTAGTCGCAAAGTGAAGAATCACGGGCAAAAAGGCCCAAAACTTCGAGATAGTTTGATATCAGCTTTGAGCAGCCCTGGGCGGGTTGTTTATTGAAATGTGGAATTTTTTCTTGGTTCACTTCCCTATGTCAAGCTAAACAACAAGATCAGGGTGGCTATGGTCAGTTCTTGAGCTTCGAACGGGCAGAGAGGTGAGAACTTTTCACTTTTTGCCCATTTGTGCCAACGTGTCACTTTCAACGTACCTCTCTATAACATGACCCAGCTGTGATGTGAGTGGTCGCATTGATTTGATTTTTGGTTTGCTTGATGGCCGCTGGCACTCGCATTCAGTGACGCTTATAATTTGGCACTGCTGTGAATAGATTAGTCGCAAAGTGAAGAATCACGGGCAAAAAGGCCCAAAACTTCGAGATAGTTTGATATCAGCTTTGAGCAGCCCTGGGCGAGTTGTTTATTGAAATGTGGAATTTTTTCTTGGTTCACTTCCCTATGTCCAGCTAAACAACAAGATCAGGGTGGTGATTGTCAGTTCTTGAGCTTCGAACGGGCAGAAAGGTGAGAAATTATCGCTTTTGCCCATTTGTGCCCACGTGTCACTTTGAACGTACTTCTCTATAACATGACCCAGTTGTGATGTGAGTGGTCGCAATAATATGATTTTTGGTTTGCTTGTAGGCCGCTGGCAGCCGCATTCAGTGACGCTTAAAATTTGGCACTGCTGAGAATAGATTAGTCGCAAAGTGAAGAATCACGGGCAAAAAGGCCCAAAACTTCGAGATAGTTTGATATCAGCTTTGAGCAGCCCTGGGCGAGTTGTTTATTGAAATGTGGAATTTTTTCTTGGTTTACTTCCCTATGTCCAGCTAAACAACAAGATCAGGGTGGCGATGGTCAGTTCTTAAGCTTCGAACGGGCAGAATGGTGAGAAATTGTCGCTTTTTGTCCATTATTGCCCACGTGTCACTTTCAACGTACCTCTCTATAACATGACCCAGTTGTGATGTGAGTGGTCGCATTGATTTGATATTTGGTTTGCTTGTAGGCCGTTGGCACCCGCATTCAGTGACGCCTAAAATTTGGCACTGCTGTGAATAGATTAGTCGCCAAGTGAAGAATCACGAGCAAAAAGGCCCAAAACTTCGAGATAGTTTGATATCAGCTTTGAGCAGCCCTGGGCGAGTTGTTTATTGTAATGTGGAATTTTTTCTTGGTTCACTTCCCTATGTCCAGCCAAACCACAAGATCAGGGTGGGTATGGTCAGTTCTTGAGCTTCGAACGGGCAGAAAGGTGATAAATTGTCGCTTTTTGCCCATTTGTGCCCACGTGTCACTTTCAACGTACCTCTCTATAACATGATCCAGCTGTGATATGAATGGTCGATTGATTTGATTTTTGGTTTGCTTGTAGGCTGCTGGTACTCGCATTCAGTGACGCTTAAAATTTGGCACTGCTGTGAATAGTTTAGTCGCAAAGTGAAGAATCACGGGCAAAAAGGCCCAAAACTTCGAGATAGTTTGATATCAGCTTTGAGCAGCCCTGGGCGGGTTGTTTATTGAAATGTGGAATTTTTTCTTGGTTCACTTCCCTATGTCCAGCTAAACAACAAGATCAGGGTGGCTACGGTCAGTTCATGAGCTTCGAATGGGCAGAAAGGTGAGAAATGGTCTTTTTTTACCCATTTTTGCCCACATGTCACTTTCAACGTACCTCTCTATAACATGACCCAGCTGTGATGTGAGTGGTCGCATTGATTTGATTTTTGGTTTGCTTGTAGGCCGCTGGCACCCGCATTCAGTGACGCCTAAAATTTGGCACTGCTGTGAATAGTTTAGTCGCAAAGTGAAGAATCACGGGCAAAAAGGCCCAAAACTTCGAGATAGTTTGATATCAGCTTTGAGCAGCCCTGGGCGAGTTGTTTATTGAAATGTGGAATTTTTTCTTGGTTCACTTCCCTATGTCCAGCTAAACAACAAGATCAGGGTGGTGATTGTCAGTTCTTGAGCTTCGAACGGGAAGAAAGTTGAGAAATTGTCGCTTTTTGCCCATTTGTGCCCACGTGTTCATTTCAACATACCTCTCTATAACATGACCCAGTTGTGATGTGAGTGGTAGCATTGATTTGATTTTTGGTTTGCTTGTAGGCCGCTGGCACCCGCATTCAGTGACGCTTATAATTTGGCACTGCTGTGAATAGTTTAGTCGCAAAGGGAAGAATCACAGGCAAAAAGGCCCAAAACTTCGAGATAGTTTGATATCAGCTTTGAGCAGCCCTGGGCGAGTTGTTTATTGCAATGTGGAATTTTTTCTTGGTTCACTTCCCTATGTCCAGCCAAACAACAAGATCAGGGTGGCTATGGTCAGTTCTTGAGCTTCGAACGGGCAGAAAGTTGAGAAATTGTCGCTTTTTGCCCATTTGTGCCCACGAGTCACTTTCAACGTACCTCTCTATAACATGACCCAGCTGTGATGTGAGTGGCCGCATTGATTTGATTTTTGGTTTGCTTGTAGGCCGCTGGCACCCGCATTCAGTGACGCTTATAATTTGGCACTGCTGTGAATAGTTTAGTCGCAAAGGGAAGAATCACGGGCAAAAAGGCACAAAACTTCGAGATAGTTTGATATCAGCTTTGAGCAGCCCTGGGCGAGTTGTTTATTGAAATGTTGAATTTTTTCTTGGTTCACTTCCCTATGTCCAGCCAAACAACAAGATCAGGGTGGTGATTGTCAGCTCTTGAGCTTCGAACGGGAAGAAAGTTGAGAAATTGTCGCTTTTTGCCCATTTGTGCCCACGTGTCACTTTCAACGTACCTCTCTATAACATGACCCAGCTGTGATGTGAGTGGCCGCATTGATTTGATTTTTGGTTTGCTTGTAGGCCGCTGGCAGCCGCATTCAGTGACGCTTAAAATTTGGCACTGCTGTGTATAGTTTAGTCGCAAAGTGAAGAATCACGGGCAAAAAGGCCCAAAACTTCAAGATAGTTTGATATCAGCTTTGAGCAGCCCTGGGCGGGTTGTTTATTGAAATGTGGAATTTTTTCTTGGTTCACTTCCCTATGTCCAGCTAAACAACAAGATCAGGGTGGAGATGGTCAGTTCATGAGCTTCGAATGGGCAGAAAGGTGAGAAATGGTCTTTTTTTGCCCATTTTTGCCCATATGTCACTTTCAACGTACCTCTCTATAACATGACCCAGCTGTGATGTGAGTGGTCGCATTGATTTGATTTTTGGTTTGCTTGTAGGCCGCTGGCACCCGCATTCAGTGACCCAGGAAATTTGGCACTGCTGTGAATAGTTTAGTCGCAAAGTGAAGAATCACGGGCAAAAAGGCCCAAAACTTCGAGATAGTTTGATATCAGCTTTGAGCAGCCCTGGGCGAGTTGTTTATTGAAATGTGGAATTTTTTCTTGGTTCACTTCCCTATGTCCAGCTAAACAACAAGATCAGGGTGGCTATGGTCAGTTCTTGAGCTTCGAACGGGCAGAAAGGTGAGAACTTTTCACTTTTTGCCCATTTGTGCCAACGTGTCACTTTCAACGTACCTCTCTATAACATGACCCAGCTGTGATGTGAGTGGTCGCATTGATTTGATTTTTGGTTTGCTTGATGGCCGCTGGCACTCGCATTCAGTGACGCTTATAATTTGGCACTGCTGTGAATAGATTAGTCGCAAAGTGAAGAATCACGGGCAAAAAGGCCCAAAACTTCGAGATAGTTTGATATCAGCTTTGAGCAGCCCTGGGCGAGTTGTTTATTGAAATGTGGAATTTTTTCTTGGTTCACTTCCCTATATCCAGCCAAACAACAAGATCAGGGTGGTGATTGTCAGTTCTTGAGCTTCGAACGGGCAGAAAGGTGAGAAATTATCGCTTTTTGCCCATTTGTGCCCACGTGTCACTTTCAACGTACCTCTCTATAACATGACCCAGCTGTGGTGTGAGTGGTCGTATTGATTTGATTTTTGGTTTGCTTGTAGGCCGCTGGCACCCGCATGCAGTGACGCTTATAATTTGGCACTGCTGTGAATAGATTAGTCGCAAAGTGAAGAATCACGGGCAAAAAGGCCCAAAACTTCGAGATAGTTTGATATCAGCTTTGACCAGCCCTGGGCGAGTTGTTTATTGAAATGTGGAATTTTTTCTTGGTTCACATTCCTATGTCCAGCGAAACAACAAGATCAGGGTGGTGATTTTCAGTTCTTGAGCTTCGAACGGGCAGAAAGGTGAGAAATTGTCGCTTTTTTCTAGGGGTGAAAGTGTGCATGCAAAACTCGAGTACGAGTACTCTATTTTTTTCCGATCGAGTATTCGAGTATAAGACTATTGCCTGCACTGTCACTTTCCCCATTTCCAGCATCACGCCACATGCCACGGTTCACTTGTCCGCATGCACACACATTACGTACATACATGGATCACGTGTTCACGCATTCACGCCCGACCTCAATAAAAATAGCCTTGAATAGGGCACAAATGTGCAGTATTATCAGATGTGATATCAATCATATCAATCATAATATTATTATCATCGATATGTGACGGTGAAATTCTCACAACAGCCAACCCTAGAAGGCAACCAAGAGCCACTAGTCAAATAAATTGAAACTAAAAGAAGTACACACAATCAGTGATTCTGAGCTCCACTGAGGAGACTAAACGCGTTCAAACAGCCACCTGCTCAGAAGTTAGTTAAATAAATGAATAAAGAAAGAACTGATGGAACATCATGATACGCACTGGCTGCAACTATCTGTCTACAGGTCAGGCAAAGGAGGCAAGTCATCGGCTTCTTCCTCTGCAAACCTCTCAAGCCGTGGCATCAACTGCTGGACCGCCACAGGGGCAGCAGTTCTTGCTGCCTGAAGACCACTGTTTGCATGAAGGAAGACGAGTGCATCAACGTTCTCGTGCGTTAGACTTGCTCGTAGTTTGCTGACAATGATGCCAGCCGCTGAAAATACTCGCTCCGACGGCACAGAGGTGGCAGGTATGCACAGCACGCGCTTTGCCAACCTTGCCATGGTGGGAAACCTGTCCGCATTCGTCCTCCACCAATCGAGTGGGTCCACAGATGAGCCTACTTGTTTCTCCGTGAAGAATTGGGTTACCTCCACCTCACAATCCGATGCTGCCGATGAAGTTGTGGATGGCTCGACGCTAGGGCACGCGAAGAACAACGACATGTCCTCTTCCATAGGTCGCTTGGCAGGTGGCTCCAGAATACATTCGTCATCAGAGCTGCCCCCTTGCTGTCGGCAGTGATTTGAGCACACACCCGGCGAACAATCTCTGACTTCAACTCGTCCTTGTCTTCGTCACTGTCCAAGAATCCGAGGCTCCGTGACCTGGGATCCAGTGCTGCAGATACAGATGGCAGCGAGATTGGGTCAAATGGATCGAGGGACAACTTCACCTCGATTTCCATTGCCAGTGATTTCCGGAAATCCGCAGCCGATGCCGAGAGTTCCTCATTCGCAGTACGAAGACCACGTAGCAAAGACTTGGCCACCGGCACCACCAACGTCTGTGTACAGTAGGTTTCCCCACCAAGAACAGTGGTAGCCTTTGCTGGTGCCTCCAGTGCTGCCACTATCTCCTTGGCGAGATTCCACTGGTGGTCCTTCAACTGCAGGTGCCGATGGGAGCTCTTGGTCAGCTCGGGGTCTTCCAAAACCGCCATGATTGGCAGCCTCAGGTGAATCAGGCGCTGGAGCATCAGAAAGGAGCTGTTCCATCGCGTTGGAACATCCTGGATGACTCGTAGAGGAGTGCCAGACTTGCTAGCTGACGCCATAGCTACTTGCTTGTTGTTTAGCGCCTCTGTGCTCTTGGCACTGTGGCTGAAGTGACCAACAAGTTGCCTGGAAGAAGCCAGCAGTTTCGTGACAGGCCTTGATGCTGTTATAGCATGCCTGATGCAGGTTTGCAACCGATGGGCAGCGCAAGCTTGGTAATCCCAGTGATGTTGGCTGCGAAGAAGTCTGCTCGCTGCCATCTGGTTTGGTGCTTCATCATGGACTAAGCACTGCACAGTGTCATGCGCAATGTTGAATCTGCTAAGAACTGCTTCTGTGCTGGCAGCAAGGGTTTCCGCTGTGTGACTCCCGTTGAAGCGCTTGGTCTCAAGAACGTGCGACACCAGTTTCCAGTCGTCCGTGACATAGTGGCTCGTGTACGTTACAAAGGAGACCACAGCCTTCGATGTCCACGCATCCGTTGTGATAGCAATTGATGTAGCACCTGCTAATTTTGTCACAAGCTCCTTTCGTGCAGCATCGTGCCGCCGACGCACCATGGATGCGATGGTCGTCCGTGAGGGAACGGTGAATGAAGGTTCCACGAAGGACAGCAATTGCCTGAACCCAGGATCGTTGACTATCCCAAGAGGACGCATATCAGCAGTGACCCAGTCGGCGATGAGCCCCCGAATCTGAGTTGACCTGGCCGAATTACAAGTTCTCTTCGAGTGCGATACTGCAAACGATTCCATTGGCTTTGTCCCAACCGTGGTACGTGTTGCTGCCGCTGCGCTGCGCTCGCTCGGCTCGCTGCCTTTCTCACTTTCTCACTTTCCCTCTTCTCCTTGTAACTTTGGCATGTTAGCAGATGATTGGACAAGTTCGTTATACCACCCGTATATTTGTATGTGCCCTGGCAATGTTTGCACAAGACTTGCTTTGACACTGGTTGGGAGAAGTGGTCCCAGACCTTCGATCTCTGACCAGTCTTTCGTGGTAAGCCAGCCCCGCTTGATGACGATGCTTGTTGCAACTCCATTTTTCGTCAGGCAACACTACACTTCACTCAAGCCAACTACTGCAAACGAAAATCACTCAACTACGAAAGGAACTCTTGGATGTGACTGCGAGACCCACGAAGAAAACTGAAGGAGCAGCGACAGCTAGCACGTCTTCTCCGAGTTTCGCTACACGACTGTATTCACGGAGCCCTTCACATCTTTCGTTATGTAAACGGCTCCGTAGTACACGATTGACTCCCGCTCGATCCCACGCGCAGGGATTCCTGCTGAGCTCAACCACGCAAACCGGTACGGTAGCTATCCATAGTCGCATGTACAGGAACTGCTCTTCTCACAACCAAAACCGTTTTCCAGAACCTTTCCAGAACCAAAAGAAGTGCATGCCGCACTGCCCCTGACACTGGAAGCGAAAAGGTGAGAACTCAAACTGCATGCAGCATAGCACAACTTTGAACTAGGTACGCGGAGCGCCGCACTGACACTTGGCTACATGTACCACAAGACCATTTGGCAGCAGTATGCGGCATTGCGTGTTACTTTTAGAGAGAGTACGCTAGTAGGTCTACTAGTACTAGTACTCTGCACGCCTTCTGGGCTGTGCACGTAGGTCTACGAGTATGTGACTTGTGACCATGGTTGTTGACTGCATGCACAACACTCTACATGCTCAGGTATAATAAGGTGATCATGTGTGTACAAAACTTGTATTGGCAATAACTTTGGCATACAATAATATTTTTCAACCAAATGTTCTGTGTTGATACATTGGGTTAGTTGTCATCGATTTCCAATATCAAATTTAAATTATGAGCTGAATGACGTCATCAGTGCTACTTTTTATGTTCAGATTTCAACCCAAAACGCGGAGAAAACGAAAAATAGTAAGGCCACAAATCCTGGTGAACTGGATAGCCTTTGAGCGCTAGATAAAGGATATTGGTGGATATTGTACATAGATAACAACATTTCGCTGGAAACCAGTATCGACTTGTTTCACCATACGCACTGTACACATTTAGTATACGAAGCTGTCATACCTCGGGGTCTGTTCAGACTCACCACCGCGATGAACGGGTGTTTAGTATCGATATCCAGCACATTCCCGCTTGCTGGGATGTACAGCTAGCCAATACAACAGCTCTCATTCGCCAAAGACATTCCCCACGCTCCGCGTTTATGGATGAAGCTGTCATTGCCGTTTCAAAATAGCCGACATTGTCTCTTACACATAAATGACTGCGCTGTACATGTAGTGCATCACACCAGCAATCTGCTGTAGACTACAGACAGTGCATGCAGCGAGCCGAGCATGCGCACTTGAGTAGGGTACTTTACTCCCACGCGCGCGCGATCGCTGGTCACAACTGAGTCTGTACACGCGACTGTGCTCGTGTCGTTGTGACTTGCAAGTGCACTCTGTACTGCACTGATGTACTGTATGACTGGACAGGAACAATGCAAGTGCAGTTTTCAGTGCGTGGACTCGGCTACTAAAACATTTTGTGGAAGGAAACAAGCCTTCTTTATGATCTTGGTCATTTTTCTCAATCGACTCTGCGCTTCGAGCTAGATGTGTCCGTGGGGTATTGCCCAACTAGAACTAGAGTCCTCACATGCCCCAGGTCGCGAGGAGCTAATCACTTTTGTCAGCAGAACTCCTGCTGGGGACTCGACATATTTATTCCGTCCGATGTCATCCCCGCTGCGAGTGGGGAGCTTCATGCCCACGATAAAAGAGAACGTCATGATATTTGAATCCTTCATCAGAGAAAGCTATTCGAGCTCAAAACGACACAAGACAATGGCCATGATAAAGATACTCGTACAGATCGCGATGTGACTGGCCTCCAAAAGTGCTGCAAAAGACTTGAAGTATTTTTCAAAACAAGATTGCGAAAAAAAGCTGAGCGCTCGAGTGCGGCGAACACGGCCAAACGCCATATTTTCCTTGGTAACATGACGTCAGCCACATTATCACCATGGCGAATTGCAGCGCTGATCTTGAAGTACAGCGGCACCAGAAAAGTGTCCTTATTCTACCTGAGTGCATGCATGCATGATAGAGTACTCGAATTTTTTCCGAGTACTCGATCGTTCAAAAAAAGCGATCGAGTACTCGAGTATTCGGTATAATCGTTTCACCCCTACTTTTTTCCCATTTGTGCCCACGTGTCACTTTCAACGTACCTCTCTATACCATGACCCAGTTGTGATGTGAGTGGTCGCATTGATTTGATTTTTGGTTTGCTTGTAGGCCGCTAGCACCCGCATTCAGTGACGCTTATAATTTGGCACTGCTGTGAATAGATTAGTCGCAAAGTGAAGAATCACGGGCAAAAAGGCCCAAAACTTCGAGATAGTTTGATATCAGCTTTGACCAACCCTGGGCGAGTTGTTTATTGAAATGTGGAATTTTTTCTTGGTTCACTTCCCTATGTCCAGCCAAACAACAAGATCAGGGTGGTGATTGTCAGTTCTTGAGCTTCGAACGGGCAGAAAGTTGAGAAATTCTCGCTTTTTTCCCATTTGTGCCCACGTGTCACTTTCAACGTACCTCTCTATACCATGACCCAGTTGTGATGTGAGTGGTCGCATTGATTTGATTTTTGGTTTGCTTGTAGGCCGCTGGCACCCGCATTCAGTGACGCTTATAATTTGGCACTGCTGTGAATAGATTAGTCGCAAAGTGAAGAATCACGGGCAAAAAGGCCCAAAACTTCGAGATAGTTTGATATCAGCTTTGAGCAGCCCTGGGCGAGTTGTTTATTGAAATGTGGAATTTTTTCTTGGTTCACTTCCCTATGTCCAGCCAAACAACAAGATCAGGGTGGTGATTGTCAGTTCTTGAGCTTCGAACGGGCAGAAAGTTGAGAAATTGTCGCTTTTTTTCCCATTTGTGCCCACGTGTCACTTTCAACGTACCTCTCTATAACATGACCCAGTTGTGATGTGAGTGGTCGCATTGATTTGATTTTTGGTTTGCTTGTAGGCCGCTGGCAGCCGCATTCAGTGACGCCTAAAATTTGGCACTGCTGTGAATAGTTTAGTCGCAAAGTGAAGAATCACGGGCAAAAAGGCCCAAAACTTCGAGATAGTTTGATATCAGCTTTGAGCAGCCCTGGGCGAGTTGTTTATTGAAATGTCGAATTTTTTCTTGGTTCACTTCCCCATGTCCAGCCAAACAACAAGATCAGGGTGGCGATTGTCAGTTCTTGAGCTTCGAACGGGCAGAAAGGTGAGAAATTGTCGCTTTTTGCCCATTTTTGCCCACGCGTCACTTTCAACGTACCTCTCTATAACATGATCCAGCTGTGATGTGAGTGGCCGCATTGATTTGATTTTTGGTTTGCTTTTAGGCCGCTGGCACCCGCATTCAGTGACGCTTAAAATTTGGCACTGCTGTGAATAGTTTACTCGCAAAGTGAAGAATCACGGGCAAAAAGGCCCAAAACTTCGAGATAGTTTGATATCAGCTTTGACCAGCCCTGGGCGAGTTGTTTATTGAAATGTGGAATTTTTTCTTGGTTCACTTCCCTATGTCCAGCTAAACAACAAGATCAGGGTGGCTATGGTCAGTTCTTGAGCTTCGAACGGGCAGAAAGGTGAGAACTTTTCGCTTTTTGCCCATTTGTGCCCACGTGTCACTTTCAACGTACCTCTCTATACCATGACCCAGCTGTGATGTGAGTGGTCGCATTGATTTGATTTTTGGTTTGCTTGTAGGCCGCTGGCACCCGCATTCAGTGACGTATATAATTTGGCACTGCTGTGAATAGATTAGTCGCAAAGTGAAGAATCACGGGCAAAAAGGCCCAAAACTTCGAGATAGTTTGATATCAGCTTTGACCAACCCTGGGCGAGTTGTTTATTGAAATGTGGAATTTTTTCTTGGTTCACTTCCCTATGTCCAGCCAAACAACAAGATCAGGGTGGTGATTGTCAGTTCTTGAGCTTCGAACGGGCAGAAAGTTGAGAAATTGTCGCTTTTTTCCCATTTGTGCCCACGTGTCACTTTCAACGCACCTCTCTATAAC